ATATAATATAATATAATATAATATAATATAACATAGCATAACATAGCATAACATGATATAACATAGTATGATATAATATAGTATAGTATAATATAATATAATACAATATTGGAAGGTCCGCTGACAACTGGTAAGCCTAGCAGAAACACTGGCGGCACATGAAGTCGTCATCGAGCTGTGGCTGCAAACCGGTAGCGCTAGCAGCAATGACGACAAAAGGACCACAACATGTGAGTTCGATACTAGTACTAGTATTGTACATGTAACCCAACCAGATACAAGGCAATCAAAACAGCAATCATCATCAACAATGGCAGCACCATCAACAACGGGGCATCTTAAGTCTTCAAGGGCCCTTCATCTAAGCTTGCCCTTAATCCCAAATCCCACCTGGGGCCTCCCCCACAGACCTCCCCCGAAAAAAGGCTGGCGGAGGGCGCAGGCCTTCGGCAACGCCCGGTATCAAGGACCTGAGACTGGTCGGACTGGTCGGAGTAGCTGTGCTTCGGCTTAGTAGTCCGAGAAGCTAGGACAGGGGGAGCTTCCGCAGGAATTCATCGCAGTCCAGCTTGCCGATACATGTACGCAGGCTTCTGTCAAGAAATGTCACGTACTCAGACTGATTCGAAAACGATGCCAACGAATCAGCCGGATATCTGATATCTGTTTGGTGGCCTTTCTTTTTTCTTGGCAAGTCATGGCTGTAGCTATTTCAATCGTTGTTTCGCTGTTGCCGAAGTCGCTGCTATCCCTGTCGTCATCATGCCTGAAACATTTTGGTGTCCTGGTATTTCCAGTAGTTGATTTTCACCTTCGTCTGGGCGACCATGAACCTCGAGCCTGAACCCGTTCCCACATCCAGCACACCCAGGGTTGACGAAGAAAAGTCTGCAGGCTGCATGGCTTTGCAGCTTTGCCGCATAGGCCCTGTGGCTGATCGGATCTCCAATCCTTGCAATCAATCTAAAAAAGCTAACAAAAGAGCGCCCACAGCCAGCTGAGCGGTCGTCTCAAAGAGTTTTATCGCTTCCGCGGCCAGCAAGTCGATGGTGTAGTGATCGTGCACCTGCGCTAGTTTACTACTAGCAGCTTGGAAGAAAGCAAGGAACGACAACCCATCGGCTGCTGGCTAAGTGGCAATGGCACTTCTTGGCTCAAATCCGAGTCGCACTCCCGATCGAAACCACAAAAATGAAACCCGAAAGCCAAACAAGACCCGACTCCACCCAGCGGCGCTGAAAGCGGAGCCTCCTGGCAGGCGCGGGCAGTGCGATCCTCGACCTCAGGGCCCCCTGCCACGACCTCGAGCATCGCCTGAGCAAAAGCACGTCAAAGGATTTGTTCCCATGAGTCATCGAAAGAAAGATGATGAATTGAAACTGGTAAACAGAACCAGGGCTGATAAACCCAAAGCCGCCGAAGACACATGCTTGATACATATTGATCGGCAGTGATTGCTGCGGTGGCGCCGGGACGAACTCTTACTCGCACTACTCGGATTACGATTACTATTGCTACTACGGTCACGCTTACGATTACGCTCAAAGGGCAGCTGTAAGCCCTAAACACTGAACCCACAAACCCTCCGCCTCAACCCTTCACACCAAGTGCCACGCCCTATTCCCTATTTGCTACACCCTCAGAGCTTGCTGTATGAAGGGTACTACGGTGGGTTCAAGCACCTTAAGGGTCCTGAACCGGGGCCAGCTAAAACCCATGCACTGTAGAGCTCTAAAACTCAACCTGCAGCCCTCAACCCGAAAACTCTAATATAATGCTATTTATTATATATCTAAATATATATATTTATTTATTTATTTATTTATTTATATTTATATTTATCTATTTATGTATTTACTTATGTGTATATATATATATGTGTGCGTGTGTGTGTATATATATAATATGACAGTGTAGTATAGTCGGATTTGGATCATTTGGTATGGTATCGTGTAGTACAGCCTAGCTTCGGGCCCGGGCCTTTCGAAGCTCCTCCGCCTTGGGCTCGGCCCACCTCATCGGCGGCGTCGGAGAGTCGACAAGCTCGTAGTCTGGCGGCGGTTTAGGGTTTAGGGTTTCAGCACTCACTCTCGGAGGGTTTAGGGTTTAGGGTTTAGGGGGGCGGTTGAGGCTCTGGGGGAGGTGTTTGGAGTCTCGCAACTCAGGTTGGTTCGAAGGGCAACACGGTGGCTAAAGTGTTTAGGGTTTCTTACGGGGCACGGTGCCTGGGTTTGCGGTTGCGGGGCCAAGGTTTTCAAATAGGTTTAGGCTTGCTACGAAAAGGCACTTCCCCCCGGTGGTTTGTTCTTGTCATAGAATCGTGTCTGAGTCGAGGCTTGTACCCTGTCCGGAGGTTTCGAGCGCGGGTGCAGGGCTCCGACTTCCGGACAAGAAGGGCGAGGCATTTGGTAAGAAAGCATTTGGGAGGGCAACTATCTTCAGTTTTCGGTCTGTCATGCGCTCTTGGCATGTCTTATTCAATCTTCACTAATTGCCACGTCGGACCAGCCCTTTCAAGAATAGGAGACCACATTGAAGTACAACGAGGAGCCTGAACTCCATAAGCATCTACCAGCACTTTCTACCTTGGCTCAAGGGCATTTGGGAACAATGCCCTGATTTACATCGCAAGTTTCCGCTCACACGCATCGACGACCTCTTCTTTTCACAGCTGCGTTGCGCCGAGAGGAAAATATCCGGCAGCCATTGGCCAATGGTCCCCCGAAGGCACTGCGGCACATCACACTACAGAATAATGCACTTGTGTGCTGCTCACCTTCCCGAAATTTCCCGAAGCTCTTAGCGGCGTACACCACACTACACAATGATGCACGCGCCAGGGCCCCCAGACCTTCCCTTTGTCTAGCGCTTTGAGGACAGCGTCCTCGAGAGCCAGTCGAGACCCTCGTACAAGCCGTCTCCCGTGGTAGCGCAGGCGGACTGAATGAACCACTGGCGATGCCGCAAGTTGTGCAGACCGAGCTTCTCGGTGACTTCTGCTGCGGTCATGGCATTCGGCAGGTCCTGCTTGTTCGCAAAGACCAGGAGCACTGCGTCGCGCATCTCGTCTTCATTCAACATTTTGTTGAGCTCCTCGCGGGCGTCCTCAATGCGATCCCGGTCGTTGCTGTCAACCACGTAGATCAAGCCATTCGTCCCCTGGTAATAGTGGCGCCACAGGGGGCGAATCTTGTCCTGGCCACCAACGTCCCACACTGTGAATGACAAGTTCTTGTACTCCACGGTCTCCACGTTGAAGCCGATCGTAGGGATGGTGGTGACCACCTCACCTAACTTCAGCTTGTAGAGAATGGTGGTCTTACCGGCTGCATCTAAGCCAACCATCAAAATCCGCATCTCCTGCTTTCCGATCATTCGCTGCCATATCTTCGTGAATGCGAGACCCATGGCTAGGAGCTTGTGTCAACCGGGCGGACTAGTAGAGATACCTTGAACCCTGGCCACACGCGAAAACTCAGCCTTCGATGCACTGGTCGAGCTAGGTCGTGGGAAACATCAATCCAACCCTGGCCACGAACCCAGCAACTGACAGTGCTGACCCCTAGTTGTCAAGAAACGCAGTGAAACGACTGAACAGCACCACAGCTTTACAAGCTGTGCTTTGGCAAATTCACCCTGGCACTGCCAATGGAATTCCAATGAGGCACCTAGCACATCTGTGTAAGGGGAAGCATCAGGAAACTCCCGATTGAACGAGCAAGTGCCTATTGGCCAGGAGTTCTGGTCATTCATGAAGTCCGTCTGCCCACCTCTGAAAGTGGCTGTGCTCTTAACGCCTCACGCCGGAGACTGAGGCGCTTGTGCAAAAGATCGGGATTCTCATCAGGAACGACTTGGGATGAATGCACAGCTTCTTGACTTGAGAGCCACTCTCTCGGGACTAAGATGAAGCGCCCCCTAAAGTTCCCAAAGCGCCTAAACCCTTAAGCTCAAGCCCCCATCCAAAGCCTAGCCTTTCCGAAAAGTTTAGATATTGCGGTCCGCAATCAGAAGTGTAAAGACATCGCAGAAAGGTCAGAAGATCCCTGCCCGGGCCCTGCCGACGAAAAACGCAACTTCCGAAAAGACGTGAAAAATCCTCTGGGCTCTTGCCGGAGCTGTGCCCGGACGCACCCTGAGACTAAGACCACTCGAAGATCTAAGGAAACTGCAGGCTCAAGAAGCCCTCGTCCCTGGTTAGGGAAGGGACCCCAGCCAGTACCAATTGTCGGCAAGCCGGAAGCCATTGCCTAGACCACGTGCGGCAAAGCTTTCTGAGTCGAACACGCAACGCAGGGGCCGTGTGGTGGGTTACACTGTCAGCGGTGGCAGGCGCTTCTGGGGAAGGGAGTCTCGCGTTTCGTCGGAATCTTGGCGTGGTACAGAATTCAAGAGGAGGGGAGGGCGGGGGGCCTGGAGGAGAGAGAAGACAACAGAATGCACTGGGCTGCCCGGAAGCTCGCAAGAGCTTTGAGTAGCTAAGTCCCCACAGGGCTTGGAGTTGCGCATCCGTTTCTCTCAATGTCCGAAAGATCCAGATACCCCCCGAAAAGTCCAAAATGCTCAATAACTCGCGCGACTCGGCAAGCCTACGAGCGCATGCGCACTCCCCGGGGCGGTTAGTCATCCATCTTGCCGCGAAGCATGATCTGAAAAATATGAACAAGCAACCTGCAAAGCAAGAAATGGGTGTACCTCAATGAGAGGAAGGCCCCAGCCCTCGCCGTGGCTAGGCCTCACCAGATCATGGGGTGATCCTTCCCCAAGCAAAAGCCCGAAGCCCTAAACTGGAAAACCCAGGCTTTGCCTGTTAGAACTGCGGGCTTCCGGTGCGGAGCTCGTGCTTTCCAGTGGACGGGGGAGGCTCCTTTTGTTGGATGCATTGGGGGTTCGACTCTCACTCCCGCACTCGGCAGGCAAGGCTCCTTAAAAGGGGGTTTGTTATTAGGACTGTTGTTTTTCTTTACTATTATTATTATCATTACTATTATTATGGCGGGGCACCTGTCAGAGTCGACCTCGCTTGCAGGGCCTTCCTCCAGATTCTCAGGTAACCGCTGCTAGTCTACGCCCCCTCCTGCCGTTGCTTTTTCTTGTTACATAGGGCTTAGGGTTTAGGGTTTAGGGTCATTTAGGACAGTTCCCTTTTCTGATGGCCTTCGTAAGGAACTCTTTGGGGATCATGCAAGGGAGGTCTCGAATCTGGGTCCTCGAAAACGAGCACTTTCTCTGGTGGAGGTGGGGTGCTGGGATTAGAGATTCTCTCCCTCGCCATCGTGACAAAGTAACTGACGGGAACTTGAAGGGGCCGTACAGAAACCCTCAACTTCGCCTGACAGGGAAACCCTAAGAGACTCGAAGGTTCTAAAGGTTTTCAACCATCCGGAATCTGGACTTGCAAACCCTAGCATGGAATCCAGACCCTGCAAAAAAAGACTTGAAAGACTCCCCGAAATCTCGACGCTGAGGTTCCAGCAGGACGAAACCATCTGCTGCTTTGTACCTGGGAGTTCTGGGGCCTAGTTGGGAACACCCTGAAATTCGCTTGAAGTTGTGAGCACGGGGCCAGTGTTCAGGGTTTGGTGCGCCAACACGAAAGCAGTGACAAAGCTATTGGAGGGTGCGTACAAATGAAAGATCCTAGTGGGCTGCGCAAGAGGCGACATACCCAACCAAGTGGAGCCAGGCATGATACAGATACACCAAGTGTCTTCGTGAGCTTCCTGCGCTTCTTTTTGAGGGGTGGAAGAGGCCATGTGTGACTTGCAAGAATTCGTCTCCGAATTGAGGAACTCATGTTTCCGATCGATTCATGTCGACTTTTAAACCCCTCCATGCAAATCATGAACATTCCGATGCTGTCTGGCCTGCTGCATGGCAATGCAGTGCGGAACCATGGGGTCAACACAGCCGGGAGGGTATAGGCATGGACAATTGTAATCGCAAAAGTGGTCAGAGACGGTTCACAAGCAACAGACCATAATGATGACAGCCACAAGAGGAATACTACATTGCTACGGATTTTGGTGGCCTGTCGCCCACGTGGCCTGCAGAACGCCACTCCATGGGTGGCAATGGTACGTAAGAAGAGTGATAAGAATAGCAGCGAGTTATTCCTATCATATTCTCATCAGTCTTCATAGCTAATAAGAGCTCATTATCCTGTAAGTCTTGAGGTCCAGGCAGCAAAGGCAGATCACCTGAGCGAAGAGACACTAACCCGGCCAGGGGCACCGACAACCACAACAAGGCTATGTGGCGATGTCTGTATGAGTCGTTATTTTTTTTTTTTTGGGGGGGGNNGGCAAAACCTAGAGACATTTACTAAACGACAACACGAATGCATTTTGGTATGCCTGCTCGTCTCCCTGTCTCTGTGTGTGGATACCTACATAAGTATGTGCTTGTTTGCGTGTGTGTACAAAAACTGATAGTCTTGGGTGGTGCGTGTGCCCTGTTGACCAGCCCTGACTGAGCAGCTGAAATACCCCAACAATCAAAAGAAGTTGCCAACCAGAGAACGCAGACGGATTCTTAAAACGAAGCACTTTCCCTCAATGCTTTCCCGAAGCAGAGCAGGAAACGGACTCGGGTCCTCACCCATCACTACTTCCCTCCGTTGAAGTGCAGATCCCTTCTTCCGCAACCCTCCAGCGCTCTCCATCAAAAAGGAACATCTTGATGAAAGGCAGCGGCTGGTCTTCAAGGTGATGTCGGTGACCAGGAGGCGGCCCTCAGGACGAAGGGCTGCCTCTCTCCCTCCATGGGGTGTGGAGCCCCCTAAAGACCCCTGGCTCGAGGGCCCACCCCATCTGTCTTCATCCTCATCCCTTTATTCAGAGCCATGGCCCTCGCTGAGGCATGCATCTGAGGCCATTTTCCTAAAAGGCCCACTCCCCCCATGGAGCGCACACCTCCATGATCGGGTCGTCTATCCCAAGCGACTTCAGGAAGTAGGGGACGTCCTGGATTCACGTGTTTGGGATCCCGGAAGAGGCTGGCAGCTCGCCCCTGAAACCCTCCCCGGCCCTGTGTCAAAAGGAGGAGTTCGGAGTTGAGAGCTTCGGACTTCGAAGTCGAAGCCTGGCGTGGCTTAGAGATTTTGAGGAACATCTGTCAGTTCCTAGGGCCTCAGAAACAAAAATCGTGAAGCAACACTCTCCAATGTTACTGCTGCATCTTGTGGCAACACCGTCAACACAAACCCTTAACCCTAACCCTAGAAGAAAGTCCTGCGCCGGATCCGTCGACCAGCTAAGCGTCTGAGTCTTGATGAGCAAGCGCACGGACCTGGTCAAGGGACGTCTGGTATTACGGTGACGGCGATTATCCACATTCTGATTGTTGTATAAAGATGGCGTTCATTTGCGCGCTGGTTATTTTGTTGCGTTGTTTCAGTTGTGACAATGATTATTGTCAGTATTGTTAATTCCCTCCAGGGGTCAGCTGTCTCACACACGCTTGAATAGACCGTCTATAGGAGTCTAGGGATGGCGGAAAATCATGACGCAAGGTCCCTCCCAGCCCGAATCCCTCTGAGCTCATGGCACATTCACCTGCTGTCCGTCTGGCGTAGTCACTGGCCTCAGAGCCATCGAAGGAGAGGCTACAGCTTAGCTACTACTGCACCACCCGCTACCTGAAACTATTACCTACAACCCGCTACCTACCAGCTGCTACCTGCTACCGACTACCTCCTACTACCTACTACCTACCATCACCTACTGCTGCTGCTCTTGCTGCTACTCCTACCCCTACCCCTACCCCTGCCCCTACCCCTACGCCTACGCCTACTCCTACTCCACTCCTACTCCTACTCCTACTCCTACTCCTACTCCTACTCCTACTCCTACTCCTACTCCTACTCCTACTCCTACTCCTACTACTACGACTACGACTACTACGACTACTACTACTACTACTACTACTACTACTACTACTAGCCACCCCCGCCCCCTACCAACCACCTGGCGCGTCAATCCACCACCATCATCGATCATCATCA